CTATTTAAGAGACTGAGCTGAATACAGCACCTCAGACTGAGGAAGTCTCTTGGATGAAAGACGAAACGTTTCTACATTTTTTTTTTTTTTTTTTTTTTTTTTTTTTTGAATGTCCAGAGGACCAGATTTAACTTTTTTAGATCAGGACCTGGACTTTTCCTTTCTTTAGTCTTTTGAAACATGTTAACCGCACTTCCAATATCAATATTCACTGCTGCACCTGACGACGTTTCTTTAAAAACAGAAAGCTCCTCTGTAAAATCATTAGTGTTAAAACGATTGTAAAATGAATTAAAATCATTTGACAGTTCCAAGGCAGATGAGGAGTTAAGAGTAATGTGAGTTTCCTTACTGGGCATCCCCATCATAGACTTAACACCCTCCCACGCCAGCTGGGAGTTATTGGACCTGAACATATTTTCCACCCTCTCTTTATAGTTTATTTTAGCTACTTTTAATTCTTTCCTCACTTGTTTTTTAGTATATGGTATTGAGTTAAATCCCCCTTTTTCAAGCTAATGTTGTGTAAATTTATTGGGGTTTTTTTTAACTGATTTGGAGATCCAAGGTTTATTGTTAGCAAAGATTGTGACAGATTTCCTGGGAATGACTGATCCCTCACAAAAATTAACATAAGAGGAAATTATGTCAGTAAGTTCCTCTAAATTATTGCATGTTCTTATAAACAAATCCCAGTCTGTGCAGCTAAAACAGTCTTGAAGATTCTGGATGGACTCTTCCACCAAACCCGAACCAAACGTTGCTCTGGCTTGTGTTTCCTCAGGACGGGTTTGTAGTGTGGGACCAAATAGACAACGTTGTGGTCTGATGAACCTAGCGGGGCTCTGCTCAGGGATTTAAAAGCATCTTTCACAGTTCCGTAACACAGGTCCAAACATTTGGTAAGTCGAGTGGGGCACGTCACATACTGATAAAAATTCCCAAGTGACTTTCCGAGTCTGCAGTGGTTAAAATCCCCCATAATAAGGTTAGGAGCATCCGGTGAGATCTTCTGAAACTGCTGCACTGTTTTTAGCAAAGCCTGAGTTGCTAGCTCCGTGTTAGCCTTAGGGTGGATGTAAATGAGTGTTATAAAAAGCTGTGGGAATTCCCTTGGCAGGTATAACGGGCGGAGAGACACAGACAAAAGTTCGATGTCTGGCGTGCACATCGTCTCCCTGATGATAACCGTGTTACACCACTTTTTATTAACGTACAGGCACAGTCCTCCACCAAGTGATTTACCTGTCCTGGTGGGGTCTCTGTCCTAACGAATGGGCTCCTCGAAGCCTTCGATCTCCAGGTCCGATGGTTGGTCGTTGTTCTTGAGCCAAGTTTCTGTCAGTGCCAGAACACAGGCACTTTTAGACTCCTCCAGAAACTTCACGTTAGCCTGAAGCTCGTCGATTTTGCCGCAGAGTGACTGCACATTTGCCAGCATGACGGTTGGAAGCAGCATATGAGCAAGACCCACCCCCGCTTCAGCCTCTGCCGAGCACCACCACGTCTTCCCCACTTCCTTACGCCTGGCTGCTTCTGCTCCCAGCACCGGTCTTTAGTTGAGGTCCCTGTCCGGAGGATGTCTGCTGGAAAAACTGCAGAGGGTTCCACAGCGCCTGCTCCAGAGTCCCGCATCAGGAGCAGAAACTCCCGGCTATACTGCAGCCGCGTATGGTCCACACAGAGTCCGGCAAAAAATTGACAAACAAGTGCGAAAAGCACCAAAAAATAAACAACACAAGGATAGTCCATGGTTATTCCTACCACCATATGCAGAAAAAAATACAAAAAGGGACAGGAACAAAGAAAATGATCAACAAACATACACAGCACTCGCCCTACTGCTGCTTGTCGCAATAACCAGCGCCACCAACATTATTATCAAAATTTTCATTTTTATTCTTCTATTTCATAATTTTTTTAATTTGTAACGGCTTATTTATTTCATAATGACTCTTTTCAGATGAATGACTTCAGCTCTCAATCAAAGTCAGTGGTTTGGACGTGCACGCCCACTGTCTGATCCTTCACATCTTCTGTTAGTTTTCCTGCTCAGTGGTACAGCTAGCATTGCAGCTAGCAGCAACTTGCTATGTGAACAGTCATGAAGGATGCAGAGTTGCATGAACTTCCTGCAGCTCAGGTAACTTTAGCAGATCAAACTGAGAGGATTACGTTCACAGAAGATACAAGTGTCTTGAGAAAATGTGATCGACTGCCAAAAATCAAAATTGAGCCG